AATTAACATTCCGTGGAGCGCGCTGGCGAATACCACACCCGATGACTACTAACAATATTAGTTGATTGAACAACTACAAAATATAACATAAGCAGTTATTGCAACAAGAAATAAATGCTTTCGATTTAAATTAAAAAAGATAGGACACTTTAACCATGTAGCCGCTCTGTCTGCTCTGCAAGATCGATTTTTTTTTCCTTCCTAAGCTGATAGCCCTGAGAGGCTATGTCAGCGCAACCCTAACTTGTAGATGAGCTCTCGGGGATCAAAACAGGAGGCGTTGCTAACACTGGCCCTAGCAAGACACTGAGAAGATCCGGCGAGAAACTCAGTGGGCTTTGTGTGTTTTTATGTGAGGACGGAATGTCATCCCTATGTCGAAGGTAACGCCTAGATATTTGACCTTCGAAGCTCACGGTATGGGCTGGCCAAAAAGAGTATATCGATATCTCAAACTGTTCTGTATTTATCCTATCCCTCAGAGCGCAACTGATTCCCGACAGAATTAGACAACATCATGACGTGCCAATATAAAATATGAGTCGTCTATTATCAAAGGTGGCAATCTGTACATTTGGACAAAAAATTTTTATTGATATGTCAATACAGATTTATTTGAATATAATCGTCCCCTTCAAAGAATACGGTTCAAAACCTGCATTAAATAAAGGTTAATAGTTAACCTGTTATTTATCTAAGATGTCGTTCCGAAGAGTTTTGTGACTGCCAATGGAATACAAAGTCAATAATTCGTTTTTCTGATTTACCAATCATTGTCCAAAAGTCAGATTGCCGCCTTTGATAATAGTCGACTCATATATAACAAAATGAATAACCCGACTAAAAATGAATATCGGAAATACTATAATATGTTTAGCAAAATTTAAATCGCAAATTTTATGCCTTTAAATTTCTCGAATAAACTAAGGTTAAAAACATTAGAGTCGCTGACCGGATTAATGATAACCAATTTAACATAATACATTCTTAATAGTTTTGGTTAAAACGAAACCGCGGTGCGGGCCTCCACGAGATACGTTTACGAAACTGTTATGCATTCGGTAAGCGCTGAAATTAGGGTACCGCGTTAAATAAACTTAAATATTGGTAGTAGGAAATCGTGTGAGGTCGCGCGGGTAGGTACCGCCACCCTAACTATTTCTGCCGTGAAGCAGTAATGCGTTTCTGTTTGAAGGGCGGGGTAGCCGTTGTAACTATACTTGTGACCTTAGAACTGATATCTCAAGGTAAGTGGCGCAAGGTAAGAACGTCGTAGATGTCTATGGGCTCCAGTAACCACTTAACACCAGTTGGGCTGTGAGCTCGTCCACCTAAGCTATAGTAAAAAAATAAAAATTAAACTTGTTACTGTTGTCGGGGCATTTTCTGAACCCGCATCCATATAGGCAGTTGTCTTGCGTTCCCGCTCGAAGGGCGATCAGGAGTCGATATACCAGTGAAATTTAACATTTAATTTAATAATTTAGTGTACGAGCATCTGCCTTACAAACGCCTCAGAGGCTTTGTCTCATCCAAGGGCATTCTTATAGACGAGCAGTTTGGATGTACCACCTCACGGAGCATATTGCCGTAGGGCCTAACCGACCCAAGCCACTACACGGAAGCTCTCTTCTTAGACAAAGTTTGACACAACGGCTTGACGGCTTTAAGGGCCTGGCCACAGCTACTGGCGGTGCGTTTTGCGGTGCGTTGCGAGGCGCGGCGGGCGGTGTGACTTGCGGGGGTATGCCACAGCTAGACTAGTTGCGGCGGCGGCGGCGTCAGAGGTGCACGTATTTAGAAAGTCCTATCAAATATCCCTTTCAAAAGTGGCACGATATTACCTTGAAATAAGTGCGTTCTTAGCTGAAGATATTATTCAATCAAGAATAGGAGCGCACCCAGTTAGAAAAAGAGAGAACTTTGCGAATTTCACCCTATTTATTAGGTATTATATTAGGAATATTAGGAATATAAGAACTATCCCGATAAATAGATTATTAATAGATTCAACCTTCACAGAGATTACCAGGTTCAAATCTCAATTTACCATACGTGTTAATTGCTGATAAAGCCTATCCTCTTAAAAATTATTTGATGCGCCCATATCCACCGGGTGGTTTAAATGCGGAACAAATAATTTTCGACAAAACATTATCCCGGGCAAGTGTCACAATTCAGTACGCGTTTGGTATTCTAACTAATAAATTTCGTATTTTTACGAAAAGTGTAAAGGCAAACAAAAAGCACGCGACATTGATTATAAAGGTTTCGTGCCTTAACAGAAAGTGATGGAGACAGAGATGCAGATTTTCAGCAGTTTGTTTCCCAGTTTGGAGACTCCAATATTCACAATAGCGTACGCAGATCAAGACGGAATAATCGAGCAACGGTTCAAGCATCTAGAATACGAAATCAATTCAAATTTCAAATTTTATTTCAATAATCCTATCCAAGAGTATCTAGGAAACCATTAGTACCAGAAAATTGTTGTTTTATTTCGTCCCACATTTTTTTTATAACATGCCTATATTTATGATGTGGATGTTTTGACATCCATATTTCTGGTCTACTCAGTATTTCACTAATGAATTGTTCCACATCCATTATATTTTATTAGCTCAACGCGCGGTAAAAACAAAATGATTTGTTTCGGTCGCGCGATGCCTCAATGCGTCCACCGACACCGCCGCGCGCGCCGCTCTGAGCTGTGGCCACCTCCATATTGTCTAGTACATTTGTTTCACTCGCACATCGTGCAGCTCGTCGCCGCCAGATGTCACGCGCCTCTCACCGCTCCTCGCAACGCACCGCAAAACGCACCGCCAGTAGCTGTGGCATACTTCATAGGTTGTCTACCATTTGTTTTCGCCGCTCCCGCTTGCCGCGCCTCACGACGCACCGCAATTCGCACCGCTCTCGGCTGTGGCCAAGGGGTAACAGTGCACAACTTGGGTGTTCCGCACAGTCTGGTGCTCATCTCTGTGCTGTCTGGTGCTCTGGTGATACTGTGATCACCATTACCAAAGTTACAAATGGGCTCGGGCCATTTATTCATTTGGGCAATTAAAAAAAAGCCTGCACGCTAATATCGACTAAAACGAACAAAAAAACCATAGTAACTTGAAGTGAAACTTTATAAAATGAAATGTGAAAAATAATTCTATCTCACTCGCTCGCAAGCTAAGCGCTATAGAGATGTATACGGTTGTCTTTCTTTCGAATCCATTTATCGTTTCATCGAGTTTTCAAATCACAAATTTTCAAGAAAATCAAAAGTGGATTTTATTTCCTTATAAGCTTCTTTTAGCGTATAAACTATTCGTGAGCTAATCTTGGATACATTTCTCATTAAATTTAGTAATACCCAACCCATCAATTGATTAGAAGGAACTTAATCGGACAAAGAAAATTTTCACGGAACCATCTAACCCATGACAATTCTATCTTCGTATTGTAAAAATGATGTCGTCCTTGTACCATCAGCATTGGCTTTCTGGCTTTTAGTAATCGTGTTGTTCCTATACAGCTAATATGTTTAGACTTATGATTGTCTAGGACAGCGTTAGGAATAATGATAAGAGAATGCTTGAGCAATGTTAGTCTAGAAGCTTTTTCCTTTAGCGTTACCAACGCGCGACAGTTCTAAGAATGTTTGCTTTGTTGTTTTCTGGGAACAGACAAACAAGCAAGCACGTCAAATTGAATGTATTGCACTTACCTTTTTGAGATACTTAAGGGTGTGGCAAAATTTGTGTTGTGCTACACGAAAGATTCGGGCCTTCTACTGATGGTAGGACCTCTTTTGAGTCCGCACGGGTAGGTATATTGCAGCCGTGAAGCAAGTAATACGTTTCGGTTTGAAGGGTGGGGCAGCCATTGTAACTTTACTGAGACCTTAGAACTTATATCTCAAGGTGGGTAGCGGCGTTTACGTTATAGATGTCTATGGGTTCGGGTAACCACTTAACACCAGGTGGGCTGTGAGCTCGTCCACCCATCTGGGCAATAAAAAAAAATCATATACCCCATAAAAGAACTGAAATAACGGCCCAGTTTACAAAAGCAAGTTAGCCACATTTAGCATGTTAGCTCAGTTAGCAAATTTCTACAATTAAATACAATGAATTTGTTATATGTACACAAACATATAGATATACATAAGACAAACAATTAAAATTGTAGAAAAAAAAAAGAAAAAAAAAACATTAGTGGACTTTTTGGCAGAACCGGTCTAACTACGTCCTGCGACTCTATTTCTTTTCCCCACACTTTTGCACGTCCACAGAATATGTAAAAAGGACTAATAAACAACCACTATCACACGTTTTAAATTGAACCAAAAACTAAATTAACGAAATAAAACATTTCCTTGAACTTTAATTGGAAATTACTGGTGGTAGGACCTCCTGTGAGTCCGCGCGGGTAGGTACCACCACCCTGCCTATTTCTGCCGTGAAGCAGTAGTGCGTTTCGGTTTGAAGGGTGGGGCAGTCGTTGTATTACTTGAGACCTTAGAACTTATATCTCAAGGTGGGTGGCGCATTTACGTTGTAGATGTCTATGGGCTCCAGTAACCACTTAACACCAGGCGGGCTGTGAGCTCGTCCATCAATCTACGTAATAAAAAATTAAAAAAAAACTTAAAAGAAAAATTTTGGAGTTTGAATATGTAAGTAATAAATTGCAGGCAACACTTGTCATATGTGAAGTAACAGTTTTCGAATATTGGAATGCCTTTTTAAATGCTTAATACAGATGATTGTCTTCTCTTCAGTGATAATTTTTTTATATTTTTATATATATTGATATTAGTATAGACTAACCAACCATGAAGCAAAGTGTTTTTAAATAGGACCCTCACATACAGAACCCAATCCCCTCAAATTTAACCGTTCAACGGAAAAACTGTAGATAACAACTTAGCGTACACTATATCTAACAAATCTATGAATCTGTAACCGTTTCTATGGCAACCGATAAACTGTCTAACAAATCAACAGGCATTTTTTTTGTTTTTCCGCTTATATTGTTCACCATTTCTTTTTGTTGTTACCTTTATTTGCCGCATTAAATAATTAGATCTAGTTAAATATGGAGGACGAGGAGGATCCGTTCGAGGGGAGTATGGCGGTGGGCTCCGAGACTACAGAGGCAGAAAGGGAATTTGTGAAGGTAAATTAAGATTTATTTTCACTGTGAATAAACTTTTACATGCAAAATACTAATCTCAAAGCTTTTTTTTTCCTACCTATGCTGATAGCCTTGAGAGGCTATTTCAGCTTCACCCTAAAGTGTGTAGGTGAGCTCACGGGGCTCAAACCGGTGTGTTGCTAACACTGGCCCTAGCAAGAGCAGTGCTTCGCAGAATCTACCACCGGATCGGAAACGCAACCCACTGAGAGGATCCGGTGAGAAACTCAGTGGGCTGTGTCTATGGGTTAATTCGCTCGTCGAGCCCTTTGTCGCAAGCGATGGGTTCGACGAGGACGGTGACCGGTGCTTGTGGTGCCTAACTGGCTGAACCCATCGCTTGCGACGAAGGGCTCGCCGAGTATTTTTTTTTTTTTTATTGCCTTTGTAGGCAGACGAGCATACGGCCCACCTGATGGTGAGTGGTTACCGTCGCCCATGGACTTCAGCAATGCCAAGGGCAGAGCCAAGCCGCTGCCTACAAAATTAACTCATAGACACAGACCACTGAGTTTCTGGCCGGATCTTCTCAGTGGGTCGCGTTTCCGATCCGGTTGTAGATTATGCGAAGCACTGCTCTTGCTAGGGCCAGTGTTAGCAAAACTCCCGGTTTGAGCCCCGTGAGCTCACCTACACGTCAAGGCGAAGCTGAAGTAGCCTCTCAAGGCTATCAGCATAGGTAGGAAAAACACGCGACAACGCTACCTCAATCATTGTTCACAGCATAAAAGACAGACGAATGTAATAAGCCCTCGTTTAAAACCATCCTTTTAATAACCAATGCCATTTTCAATCGCTTCAGATTCTGGATCAAATGAGAGAAGCTGAAAACTTGAAATTATATTCCGACGTGTACACAAAACTGTACGATTCCTATTTCAAAATTAAAGACGAGAATTTTGGCCATATCGAGGAAATAAACGCTCTGAAGGTTAGTACATAAATTAAATAACGTAATTAACTAATTATAATATGTTTTTCTATTCTATTCTATCAGCCCATGGACGTCCACCACTGGACATAGGCCTCCCCCAAGCCTCGCCACAAAGACCGGTCCTGCGCTGCCTGCATCCAGCGGATCCCCGCGAACCTCAATAGGTCGTCGGCCCACCTTGTGGGAGGCCTACCCACGCTACGTCTTCCAGTACGCGGTCGCCACTCAAGAACCTTCTGGCCCCAACGGCCATCCGTTCCGCGAGCAACGTGTCCTGCCCAGTTGCCCATTGCCACTTCAGTGTCGCAATCCTTTGGGCTATGTCGGTTACCATGATTTTCCATAAATATGTATCGGATAGTTATTTATATTTATATAGGTGTGCCGTATGCTCGTCGGCCTACAAGAGCAATAAAAAAATAGTTTTAATAATGTAAACGTCTGTAGGATTGAAATGATTTTAATAGACCTAGAAATATATATTTTTTTGCGCATCGAATATGATTATTGCCTATCACTAATGTTTTTTTTTATTGCTTAGTTGTGTGGACGAGCTCACAGCCCACCTGGTGTTAAGTGGTTACTGGAGCCCACAGACATCTACAACGTAAATGCGCCACGCACCTTGAGATATAATAAATAAATAAATAAATATTTACTAACAATCACGCCACGTTAACTGGTCCCGTGATAAGTTCGTAAAGAACTTGTGTTACAGGTACCAGATAACGGAAATAAATGTAAGACCCTTATTATACACATACATACATTTAATATACATCCATAACCCTGGAAAAGACATTTATATTTATCATACAAATGTTCCCCTTTGGCGTGATTCGAACCCGCGACCCCCTTGTGTAGTGACCATGTCACTTACCACTACACCAGACGGCCGTTGAATAGTTATATAGTTCTAAGGTCTCAGTATAGTCACAACATCTGCCCCACCCTTCAAGCCGAAACGCATTACTGCTTCACGGCAGAAATAGGCGGGGCGGTGGTACCTACCCGTGCGGACTCACAAAAGGTCCTACCACCAGTAATTACGCAAATTATAATTTTGCGGGTTTGATTTTTATTGCACGATATTATTCCTTCACCGTGGAAGTCAATCGTGAACATTTGTTGAGAACGTATTTCATTAGAAAAATTGGTACCCGCCAGCGGGATTCGAACACCGGTGCATCGCTCGATACGAATGCACCGGACGTCTTATCCTTTAGGCCACGACGACTTCAAAAGCAGTTATCGTCGCTTAGTCACGTTTGCCTTTCAAGCGTCGATACATACTTTCAGACAAAGCTACAGCGTTTCGATGACACGGTATCTGATTACATTCAAGAAATAACTGAAGCGAACAAAACCATCGAAAGATTGAGAGCGGACATCGGTAAGTATAGTTTGTTTGTGTCTGCTTAGACTTATCAAAAAGTTTAAACCAATGGCGCGTTATATATGATGTCGTGGAGAAAATTATCAAGATTTATCACCCTTTTTTACTGGTGGTAGAACCTCGCGTGAGTCCGCACGGGTAGATACCACCACTCTGCCTGTTTCTGCCGTGAAGCAGTAATGCGTTTCGATTTGAAGGGTGGGGCAGCCGTTGTAACTATACTAAGACCTTAGAACTCATGTCTTAGGGTGGGTGGCGGCATTTGCGTTGTAGATGTCTATGGGCTCCAGTAACCACTTAATACCAGATGGGCTGTGAGCTCATCCACCCATCTAAGCAATAATAAAAATAATAAAAAAACTTCGTTCTTCTATCGTATCTGGTATTAGACTGAAACGGCAATGAAACTTTGAATAGGTCTGGTGGTTGTATTTTCTGAAGTCTACAGCGCAATGAATTACCAATGAATAAGCTCTGTCTTCTCTTTCCCAAGTAACCGGTACACGATAAACGCGTAATGGACTGTGTATTTGAGGATATTCAGGTTTTTTACCGTCCATTGCGAGCGATCTCACTGATTTTTAGGTATTATTCTGAGGCCATAGACGTAAACCGTGAATGCTGTTACCCACCTTGAGACATGAGGTCTAAGTCATAATGGTATCACATAACGGCTGAGCCCTTACTGCTGCTTCAGAGTGGAAATAGGCAGGATGATGGTATCCACCTGTGCCGGCCAGGAATACGGCCTAGCTCCAGTAAATCCTCATTGATTCCTTGAATACAAATCAAGACGGATCGTTTAAGCAGTCAATGATACCACTTTCCAAGTTGATCATCAGAGATGCTAACACGTAATAATAATAATAATATTTATTCAAGCCTCTTAAAATACAAACACGTACAAAAATTCTTAACACTAGTATAATAATATACATGGCTTTTTTATGAGGTATACAATAACAATATTCCCTGACTTTTATGCTAGGAAAACCTGTATTACAAAAGTCAGTAATGGCATTGTCCTGGGAATTATGAACAGAAAGCTTTAACTTAAGAAGTGATCCTAAAAATTAACATGTTGACTGCAATTTAGGTGACCGGTGCCCTAAGTCACGCACTGAAGTAATTATGTCGATTTCTCCCTTCGATTTTCTTTCTAAGGCGCCAGAATAACTAATAAGCTTTGGGACAGATGAATCCGAAGATACTGCGAATGAATCTATTTCGAAGTGACCTAAAAGACTAAAACATACATTAACAAACAAAGGAAGGCAAAGTTAGGCAAACCAGGCGCTTAGTAACAGAAATCGACGTAATTACTTCAGTGCGCCACGTAGGGCACCGGTGACCTACACGGCAGTCAACAGGTTAAATACCACAATTCTTCTTCTTCTTCTTCTTTGTCGTTTCCTCATTACCGAGGGTCGTCACCACCTTGGTCCAGTTTTTGCATCAGCTTCCTCCAATGTTGCCTGCATTCGGCCTAATATAATAATAATAATAATCGCCTAATAATCCCACAATGAAAATGTGTGAATTGGACGTTTTCACTAAGTGATCTCTTCTAAATTACTACTGATATCCTGCGCACAGAGGAAGCTCGAGCACTGGCAGACGCGATGCACGCCCGTGAGCTTCTCAGCGTCGAGAGCTTGGAGACAATGAAGAAAACTGTCACAAGACTCGAGAAGGAGCTAGACGCAAGGAAAAGGGCCGGTGACGATGATGCGTGAGGAATTTGTATTCTTTTTATTTATTGCTTACGATATCTACGACGTAAATGCCGTCACACACCTTGAAATATGATTTCCAAGGTCTCAGTATAGTGCAACGGCTGCCCCGCCCTTCAAACCGAAACGCATTACTGCTTCACGGCAGAAATAGGCAGGGCGGTGGTACTATCCATGTGGACTCACAAGACGTCCTGCCACCAGTAAAAATGATTATATAATATACTAATTAAACATTGGATGTTGTAAATGGAAAAAAAACTGTTACCTTAATTTTAAATACAATATAAAATCCACCGTTTTATTTATTAATCTCCAAACCGCTCTCTTATATTAGAGGTGCAACATCGGCAGTGAAAGAGAAGGAAAAGTTTGAGAAAGAGAAGGCTAGACTTCAAGGGGAATTGGACGGGGTAAAGCTAAGACTGACGAACGCCCTGAGCTATCAAGAGGAATTGGAGCAAAGGAACACTAGCGCAGAAGAAACCATCGCAAAGTTAGAGGAACAACTTGAGGTAGGAGAAGTGGTGCTGAGTCGATTCTTTTAGTGCGTAATATAAGCTGTAGTGAAGCTTGAGAGAGAAAGATAGAAAGAGAGTATTGTTTATTGTACACCAACAAAAGAAACAATGTGAAACATAAAATACAAAAAAAAGTACAATTGGCGGTCTTATCGCTAAAGAGCTTGTTGTTTCGATGAACCAAAAGAGAGGTCCTCGTCTCCCGTTCTATGCCTTTTTTATTGCATAGATGGGCGGACGAGCTCACGGCCCACCTGATGTTAAGTGGTTCCCGGAGCCCATAGTCATCTACAAAGTAAATGCCGCCACCTACCTTGAAATAATAGTTCTAAGGTCTCAGTATACTTACAATCTACAGTGGTTTTTACGGATGTTCCGTTATAACTACTGAACCATGCACCCGATTGACTTGAAACTTGGTATCCATGTAGAAAATACATGTACTTAATTGATAGGCTAATATTTATGTGAGTCTTGGACTCCCTAATAATAATGACAATAAATAATAATGTTAATTTTAAATGCCCAGCGAAGCGGGCGAGTACGGCTAGTATGTTTATAAATTATAGCTTAAGTGTTATTCTAATGTGTAAGCTATATCTATTTATTAATACGTGAAGCAAAAACTTTGTATCCCTTTTTACGAAAATTGCGCGGACGGAGGAGTATGAAATTTTCCACACTTATAAAGAATATAGAGAAGAAGTGCACAATGCTACGATTTTTTTTAAATAATACATAAAAGATACATTAAATCAATAAAGAAAACATTACACACACTACATACCATGTATTTGACGCACACACGCATGCATACTATTTATTGTCAAACTTTTATTCTTGACGTCTGTTGTCAAGTTGAGAATAGATTAAATATTGTTTGTCTTTGTTTATATTTTTTATAGTGTAGTCTTGGCGAAATTTGTGATTACAGAAGTATAAAATACAATCTTAATAGTGTACAAACTAACAATTCCAATTAATTATAGTCGAATTTCGACTACTGCGGGACCCCTAGTTATTGTAAAATTTCATCTAAATCCATCCAGTAGTTTTTGCGTGAAAGTGTATAGAACCATACATACATCCATACATTCGCGTTTATAATATTAGTAGGATATACCTAACGCAATATACCAAACTATAACGCAAAAAGATCGAGGCCTTTGAAATGTATTGCTGGAGAAAGCTGCTACGCATTCCTTGGACAGCGATGAGAACCAATGTCTCCATCCTCGAAGAGCTGAGGGTCACCAAGCGCCTGCTGACTATGTGCCAGGAAAGGATCCGGAGTTTCTTTGGGCACATAATGCGATCCTCATTGCACAGCCTGGAGAAACTCATCATTCTCGGACAAATGGAGGGGAAGCGCGCTAGAGGAAGAGCGCCAGCTAGATGGGTGGACCAACTCAAGGAGATGACTGGAGGCCAGATACAGGGAGCGGTACATATGGCGCAGAACCGGACCGAGTGGAGAAGATTGACATACAGTCACGATCCTCAGCATTGAGGGAACGACCAAAAGAAAGAATGCCTAAAAACAGCGCCACACGTCTTCCTTATACAGTTATAGTGATATCAAAATCGAATTTTCTAATTGTAAAATGTTGTTTTTTCTTTCAGGAAGCCGACAATAATGCGGTGCGTCAGAATCGTCTCGTGGATCATCTTAAATCGGAGAGCGACACGCTGAAGTCTGAAGTCGAACGCAGAGGCGTGAGCATAGGGAGCCTTAACGATAAGGTAAATTGATTTAGCACATCACTACGCGACTGAACAAATGCTGAATGTTTATTTATTTAAGTGCAGATGCAAGAAGTGATGATGTTTATTTTAGAATTAATCCAATTAAAATAAATTATGGTTTGAAAAAAAAACTAAAAAAATACGCTTTTATAGAAAATCCAACTAACAAATCAAAAATAAATTTTAATAAATTTGAATTAAAAATAGTGTAAGAAAAAATGATTTTATTGTAAAAAAGCAGGTAGTATGGATGAACTATACTCCGGTGGCGGGCGGTGCGATGGTAAAAACGAGATGACGGCATCATCTCGAACAATTCCTCAGAGCACTCCACTCCCCATGGAACATACGGTACAAAATACAGAGGGAACCGAAGTCCCTCCGCAGACCCAGAGGTTCCAAACGATCCGCATATAGCCGTAAAAGCTTAAAGCAATTCGGTACAGGTATTAACATCTTATAAATATTTAGATAACGAAAGCAGAGAGGATGCTAGAAAGACGGGACAAGCAGCTCCGCGATCTGACGGCGAGGTTGGAGGCGGCTCAGCTTGAGCAGGAGGCTGCTTCCGCGAAGGCGACGCAGCTGAGAGAGCAACTGGACAATTTGCACATCGAGTTCGACAAGAACAAACAGGCTTTGACCAACACTACCAAAGAATTGAAGGTAAAATTATTCAGTTAACGAAGTCGAACCTTGAGGTCGCCGTGGCCTTAAAGACGCCCTTTTTTTTGTCTTTGTAGCCAGACGAGCATATGACCCACCTGATGGTGAGTTACCGTCGCCCATGGACGACAGCAATACCAGGGACCGAGCCAAGCCGCTGCCTACCATTAAGTACTCTCCGCAAGCCTCGTTTGAAGAAGAACATGTCATAGCGCTCGGAAAACACCGTGGACGGGAGCTCATTCCAAAGCCGGATGGTACGTGGCAAAAAAGATCTGTAAGAAAGATGTATCGAGGGGGCGGCTGCGTCAGTATTTGAATCCCGAACACAGGTGCCAATTTATTTAATGAAATACGTACTTAATTCATGTGCGTAGATGACTTCTACGATGAAGAAGAAGCATCGTAATAGCGAAACACAAAACTGTCTTTCCTATTTTTGCGGCGATGCTGTAATGTGCCTATTTGAAGAGTGGGATTGCTGCTGTACTAAGCAATTGAGATTTGAAGTCTTGCCTCACGACGGGTTGTGACACCTATCGCAAATACGGTGCGATAACGTCACTTATGCAAATTATATATTTTTTCAAAAAATTTAACATCTTGTTATTTAATTCTTATATAGTTCTGCTGGGCTATAGAAATAAAATGAACTACAAACTTCATCAGTAAAAGCAAACATATCTCTCATCTCACTAATAACTATTAAAAAATGTGTTTTCTCATACTCAGTTCAGCGTTAACAAAAATTACATGTTTACTGGTGTTAGGACATCTTGTGAGTCCGCACGGGTAGGTACCACCACCCCGCCTATTTCTGCCGTGAAGCAGTAATGCGTTTCGGTTTGAAGGGTGGGGCAGCCGTTGTAACTAAACTTGAGACCTTAGAACTTATATCTCAAGGTGGGTGGCGCATTTACGTTGTAGATGTCTATGGGCTCCAGTAACCACTTAACACCAGGTGGGCTCTGAGCTCATCTATCCATTTAAGCAATAAAAAAAGTGACTTTATAGCACCGTATGCCAGTATGCCACCGAAGGCCTATGTCCAGCAGTGGGCAGATAAAGGCTGATGATGATGATGATGTGCGATATGTAGGTTCAGAGAACCAGCCCACACCGAATGGGACGGGAGTTGTTTATTGCAAAAAGAAATTAAGCAAAAAAAAGATGCGTGGTATCGTGGGACACCGGATAGGAACGAAGTTCCTTATTATAAAAATATTAATTTGAAGTTCTATTCGAGGTATGAAGAAAATAATTATTCGGGTATACATTTTTTATTATGATTTGTTTTTTTGATTAAAAAAAAACTACTTTACAAAGTTATCAAGTTTATTTTATTCACAATGATTTATAGAAAATATGTTAGTTTTTGTACGTTATTACAAAGTTAAGTCGTACACTGTGTGCATTAATAATAAAAATCTTACGTTACGGACGTTTTTTCCCGGTAAGGATACCCCTCCAAATCGTCCCATAAGGAACTTCATTCCAAAAATATTGACTAAATCGATACAGTACGTAAACGCTTGAGCGTCGCAACGTCAACCTCTCCATCCGTCTTAACAAAAGGTCCAAGACTCTGCAAAAATCACTATGAGTCCAACGGTCTCCAAAGTGGAAGTGGAAATGTACAACGCGACTTTTTAATTTTTATTGCTTAGATGGATGGACGAACTCACAGCCCTCCTGGTGTTGAGTGGTTACTGGAATCCATAGACATCTACAACGTAAATGCGCCACCAACCTTGAGATATAAGTTCTAGGGTCTCAAGTATAGTTACAACGGCTGCCCCGCCCTTCAAACCGAAACGCATGACTGCTTCACGGCAGAAATAGGTAGGGTGGTGGTGCCTACCCGCGCGGACTTGCACGAAGTCCTACCACCAGTATTCTCACGCATCCCCAGAACATGATCGACGATGGTAACAGACTGCGCGCCGAGCTTACGAAGCTCACGAAGCAGGCCGTGCAGCAGATGAAGAAGTACCAACTCCTCGAGCAAAATAAAGCGAATGTAGAATCTGAGAGGTGAGTTAGAAGTTTTTTTTTTATGATTGAACGTGGAATTTAACGGCCGTCTGGTATAGTGGTAAGTGACGTGGTCACTGCACAAGGGGTCGCGGGTTCGAAACCCGCCAAGGGAAGATTATTGTATGATAAATACAAAATGTCTTTTCCAGGGTTATGGATGTATATTAAATATATGTATGTGTTTAATAAAAATCTTATATTTATTTCCGTTATCTGATACCTGTAACACAAGTTCTTTACGAACTTAGCACGGGACCAGTTAACGTGGCGTGATTGTTAGTTAATATTTATTTATTTATTACTGGTGACCCGGAGGCCTTTCCAGTTTCACCAGGATAGGTGGGCGAGCAAAGGCTCAGCCAGGAGGGGTGGGATTTGCTAACACCTACCCGAGCGCCTCCGAAGGCAGGCAAGGCATTGTTATAATTTAATCTGCATTTAATTTAGAATAATGCCTATCTCATTGACCAGGATCGCTTTGTGTTCCAGCAGAAATGTAGGACCGTATGGTAGCGGTGACTAATCCATTAGCCCTTTTTTTATTTTCTTACATAGATGAGTGGACGAGCTCACAGCCCACCTGGTGTTAAGTGGTTGCCGGAGTCCATAGATCTATAACGTAAATGCCGCCACCCACCTTGAGATATTATAAGTTCTAAGATCTCAATATAGGTATAACGGCTGCCCCACCCTTCAAACTGAAACGCATTACTGCTTCATGGCAGAAATAGGCGGGGCGGTGGTACCTACCCGTGCGGACTCACAAAAGGTCCTACCACCAGTAACTACGCACATTATAATTATGCGGGTTTGATTTTTATTACACGATGTCATTCCTTCACCGTAGAAGTCAATAGTGAACATTTGTTAAGTACGTATTTCATTAGAAAAGTTGGTACCCGTCTGCAGGATTCGAACACCGTTGCATCGCTACATACGAATGCACCGGACGTCTTATCCAAGACTTCGAATTAATTTTAATTCTACTTAATTTTAATAAGCAATTTAGTCACTATCATAACTAAAATTATTAGTTTAAACATCACTAGCATCCACAGGCCTTGCTAAATCGACAAGTATTTAGTTTTAATTTAGCTAAAAACCAATGATCTTTCTTGCGCACCTTAATGCGTACGCTTTTAATCTAACAGGGAGAGACTACGTCAGCAAGTGAGTGTAATGGAGCGAGAGATAATGCTGAGCAAGAAACAAGCAGAGTCCGACAAAAGAGAAATAGAGAACTTGAACAGGGAGAAGGATATAATGAACAAGAACATGCAGAAGATACAGAGTGAGTTTAGTGGATTTCGTTATGTTTGCTTTTCGAACTATGATGAATAGGGGAAGATACTAAAATGATTGATTTGATTTTGAATAAACATATCCTGTATCATCCCTAGAGCACATAATCTATATATATAAAAGTGAATTGCTGTTCGTTAGTCTCGCTAAAACTCGAGAACGGCTGGACCGATTTGGCTAATTTTGGTCTTAAATTATTTGTGGAGGTCCAGAGAAGGTTTAAAAGGTAGATAAATATGAAAATGCTCGGAATTAAAAAGTTTATTTTATACAAGAGCTTAGATCTTTTATTTATCGATTGAGGTACTACGAAGTCTGCCAGGTCAGCTAGTGGCTGATAAAGATCATAAACTTATAACAAACCAAAGAAATCCGTCCGACGGGGGAAACATCAAAGGAAAAACATTTTTTTTTAATTCCAAGCATTTTCATATTTATCTACCTTTTAAACCTTATCTGGACCTCCACAAATAATTCAAGACCAAAATTAGCCAAATCGGTCCAGCCGCTCTCGAGTTTTAGCGAGACTAACGAACAGCAATTCATTTTTATATATATAGATTGAGGCACTACGAAGTCTGCCAGGTCAGCTAGTGGCTGATAAAGATTATGATTTTGAACACAAACTGCGTACAAAGTGTCCGTAACCTAAAGGTTGTGTGTCATATGTTTAGTGGGTACTGTTTAGTGGCCCATAGGGCTCGACAGGAACAACGCTGACGACCTCAAAACGCAGGATTAAACCTTTACTTTACTTATTTGTTGCATAGATGGGTGGACGAGCTTACAGCCCACCTGGTGTTAAGTGGTTACATAACACAATAACATCGTGTAATAAAAAAACCCGCAAAATTATAATTTGCGGAATTACTGGTGGTAGGACCTCTTGGGAGTCCGCACGGGTAGGTACCACCATCCCGCCCATTGCTGCCGTGAAGCAGTAATGCGTTTCGGTTTGTAGGGTGGAGTAGTAACGTTGTAACTATACTGAAATTTTAGAACTTATATCTCAAGGTGGGTGGCGCATTTTCGTTGTAGATGTCTATGGGGTCCACTTAATACCAGGTGGTGGTATCCAATAGTGGATTTAGTGAGATTATGAAACACAATCTGTTCATTTGTCCGTATGTCCAATGGTAAATAGATAAAACTCTAACAGGATTACACTCAATGGTAAAGAATGCCTTAGGCATTCATTCCCCAAATGTTAATAATACATAAAGTGTATGAATAAATAAATTAATTAAATATTTGAACACAGGAATTTAACGAGATAAATTTTGAAAACGCTAATAGCTCTAGGTCTGGTTTTTGCGTTCTCTATTTCTTATAGCAACACACGATAACCTAACTAACACGGGCATTAAAAATAAAAACGAGTTATCACTTAGCGCACCGATCAAACTAAATTAATATTGATTTTCCGGTTCCGGCTGATAAAGGGCTAAAAGTCTGATTTATTAATTAATGGCGGAAGAATTCGATGTGAAACTAGCTTATAATAAAATGGACCATTGCTTTTTCTTATCGCTCGTGAGTAAAAGAGTGCACAGTCAATCTGGTGTTAACTGGTTGCCTGAGCCTAAAGTTGCCGCAAACGTGTAATTAACCTCCGATCCATCAAGATTCCGCCTGAATTTTATATTAAATTATATGAGAACTGTCCAATGATTCTTCGCTCCAAAAATAGAAATGTTAAAGTTACCGCCTGTGAGTTCCTAATACATCGCACCACCAGCAGAAAACTGACTTATAGACTTAGTAATCGTCGCCGTTAAATGTGTAATTTAGAAAGAACAAAACACATTATCTCAGGACAAATAATTGCTTGTGTCACTTTCTTCAAGAAATACCAGCCGTTTGATCACATTCCAACAAACTGTCATGTTCATTATAACAGATATACCTAAGTTTTCCCATGGTTATAATGTTTCCCCCTACACTGACCGGGTTCTGATCCCGGCCGGTGATCGGACGTCGGCTGAGAGAGTGCAAGAGGAGTCGTTTGATGCGGTAGGGCCCTAAAAATATCCTTGGGTCGGCCGTCTGCTCCCAACATCTGTAGAGAGTCAAGTCCAACATAACCCGCATGCCCCCTAGACGCGGAACCATTTGAACCATATTTGAACCATAACAACCGAAGCCTCAAGATTTAGTTTAGATTCGTGAAATACTTTTTTTTTTATTGCCCTTGTAGACAGACGAGCATACGGCCCACCTGATGGTAAGTGGTTACCGTCGCCCATGAACTTCAGCAATGCCAGGAGCAGAGCCAAGCTGCTGCCTACCGTAACCAAGCCGCTGCCTACATTTTCTCTTTTGTTACACATTATTGATATTCGACAATTTTTAATTACTTTCCAACTTGTAAAATAATTAAATGATAACACTAAGCCTTCGCTAGAGTTAATATGTTATAAATTATAATAAAAAATCGGCTGACACACAGTAGTCAATGCGTTATGTTAATTTTTAAATGGCAAAGATTAATAAAACGTAGTTCATTCACTTACGTGGCTGTTAAGTTTTATACACATTAATAAAAAAAATTATCACTTTATCTTTGAAAATACAACTGGTTTTTAAATAGATACTATAGTTTTTAACTTACTGGTGGTAGGACTTCTTGTGAGTCCGCGCGGGTGGGTACCACCGCCCCGCCTATTTCTACCGTGAAGCAGTAATGCGTTTCGGTTTGAAGGGTAGGGCAGCCGTTGTAACTATACTGAGACCTTAGAACTTATATCTCAAGGTGGGTAGCGCATTTACATTGTAGATGTCTATGGGCTCCAGTAACCACTTAACACCAGGTGGGCTGTGAGCTCGTCCACCCATCTAAGCAATAAAAAAAAGGCTTATATTAGCTTGGTATGTATGGATGTATGCACGTGTGTATGTATGTTTGTATGTAACACAATCTTTTAACTACTGCGAAAGAGAATCGAGAATCAGTATTTGGATACATCGCTCGATTTCGAGATGTAGGATATACTAACTCAATAAAATGATAATATTATTGTCGGCAGACGAGGCAATGGAGAACTTGCAAATGTTGAACCTCCAGGAACAGCGGCGGAAGCAGCTGGAACACGAGCTGGAGATAAACGCGACCCAGATCAACAAGCAACGTCTCATCATACGACAACTAGAAAAAGATAAAGACAGGTATACAACATATTTTAAAAGCGACTATTTTCACAAAATGTTATTAAAAAGTCGCATCCCAAACGAAATGTGGTGCTGGAGAAGAATGCTGCAAATATCGTGGACGGAGTTCAGAACGAATCAGTCAATTCTACAGGAACTCGGCATCAAGCAGCGACTATCCTCCATCGTTCAGGGTCGCATTCTCACTTTCTTCGGGCATGTGTCGCGGCGGGGTGACGACTCAGTTGAGCGCCTTGTGGTGCAGGGCATGATAGAGGGTACAAGACCGCNGGAGAAGAATGCTGCAAATATCGTGGACGGAGTTCAGAACGAATCAGTCAATTCTACAGGAACTCGGCATCAAGCAGCGACTATCCTCCATCGTTCAGGGTCGCATTCTCACTTTCTTCGGGCATGTGTCGCGGCGGGGTGACGACTCAGTTGAGCGCCTTGTGGTGCAGGGCATGATAGAGGGTACAAGACCGCGCGGAAGATCACCGTTACGATGGACCGACCAAATAAAGGCAGCTCTAAACGGTCCCGTTAACGAGTGCACAAGAAGGGCCGCGGTACGCGAGGAATGGCGACGTCTGGTGAAGCGCACCACCAACCGAAGTGATGAGAAGAAATCCCAAATGAATAGTTAAGGAATAGTTTAGGCATTTGTTTGTTGTTGTTTCCGAGTTTTTTAGAAACACATGACACATTTTTTAATGGTGGTAGGTATACCAACCACCCTTCCTATTTCTGCCGTGAAGCAGTAATGCGTTTCGGTTTGAAGGGCGGGGCAGCCGTTGTAACTATACTTAAGACCTTAGAACTCATGTCTCAAGGTGGGTGGTGGCATTCACGTTGTAGATGTCTATGGGCTTTTGTAACAACTTAACTCCAGGTGGGCCGTGAGCTCGCCTACCCAACTAAGCAATAAATTAAAAAATAACTAAAAAAAAATGGGATCGGATGACCGTGCGTGATTTGTTCCCAGTTATTATTATTTATTGTTAGGTATATACATACAAATTGCTGCATACTTATAAATATACAACATTAAAAATATAACACAAATTGTTCAATTCAAATAAACATCGAGTTAGTAAATAGTAGAGTAAAACCAAAGTGCGCTTGGTGCGGGCACTGATCTTTCCCATATTCCTCTACGGAGCGGAGACATGATGCATGAAAAGCCGGGATATCAAAAAGATCGATGCCTTTGAAATGTGGGTGTGGCGGAGGATGCTGCGAATACCGTGGACGGCCATGAGAACAAACGAGTCCATTCTAAGGCAGCTAGACATCCGAAAAAGGCTCTCTTCCATCTGCCGGCAACGTGTTTTGAGCTTCTTCGGACACATCATGCGGTCTCCCAGACATTAATTAGAGAAGCTCATAATTGCGAGTCGCATAGAGGGCAAGCGCACCGTGGGCAGAACACCAGACAGATAGTCAGATCTAGCAAGAGACGCACTCAGTGGTAGTCTGTACCATGCAGTCCATGCCACCCATGATCGAGCACAGTGGAAGTATGTCGCATGTGGTCGCGATCCTCAGTAGTGAGGGAACGATATAGAAGTAGATTAGTAATAGAAATAAAAAATTGGTTTTAATTTAATCACAGCACACACATACTTAATTAATTCTTTTAAATTCTAATTAATTGTAGGAAGCGGGTCGAGAACAGAAGAATTTTCAAAAATAATTTTTAAATAATCTAGTTTTTTATCTATAAGTTCTTGACTTTTCGATAATGTATTTTAGATCAAATGCCCAAAGAAGTCTTTGACTAAAAGCATTGCATAAAGATCTAGATGATGTTAATGGTTAATAATAATTTGAAATGAAACTATGGCATTCGACTTTGTGCTTCCTAATATACTTTTATATACCTACTTATAGATATGGAATACTTCAGAATGGATAGGCAATAAAAGCCCGCAATAAAAGCTATGCAATAGCTTAAAAATTGTTATTCAATTAAAATAATGGTTGGTCGGTCTGATGCTGGTGTGCACGTCGCTCTTCAGGTTCCGGCGGAAGATCAGCGCCTCAATACCGATCGACTCGCTACCGTTAGGTATTGCTGAGCCGGTAACCTTTCCAGGCCTCGTGTTTTTTTAGAATTTATGTTCAGAATAAATGTTTATTATGATTATTATTATTAATTTGTGTAGCTTTTAGTTCATAGATTATTTTGTATTACAGGATGCTAGAAGAGACCATCGCCCTCAACGAGAAAATAGATGAAATATCCGGTGAGTGTGAAACGTTATACCATCATGACTTGCAGCGAAGATTTCTCGAGGGTCATATATTTTTTCATATCTAAAGACAGACAGACAAAGCTCATAAAATAACCGGTCTTATAGTGGTTAAAGGATAAGCAATACTTGAAGCGCGAAATGAAAGTTTTTAAGCTGTACACTGTATGGTGAGTGTCAATACGATTGCTTCGTTGCCGAGCTATCAATATAGTAGTTCTTATAACGTCGCGTCTACACTATGAAATTAGTTGCATGACACTAATTTCACCAAAAAATCGCGCAGGGCACGAAACTAATTTGCATGCATGAAATTAATGCATGCATTACGAAAGTATTAAATTACACGTGAAACTGTTGGTAAAACTAATATCACGAAATTAATTTCACGCCACTAATTTTGTAATGTAAATTCGCCTTAACAGTAGTATATAATAGTTTTAGTTAAATTTTCATCTCTTTTGCCCGTATGACATCTGCTTAGAACAGCACCTCCTATCTCTTTCTGTGGGTGGCGTAAGAGAATCAAAGGAATCATGGGAGTATGGGCAGCAGCAGTGCTTATACCAGCGTACCGCGATTTACTGATGGTAGGGCATATTGTAAGCTTATATCGGATAGGTAACGGTGTAACCTGCCTATTTTTACCGCAAAGCAGTAATGTATTCCGGTGTGAAAGATGAGGAAGAGTCGATATACAAAACAATTAAGACTTCGACAACAATATCGGTTATTTTAACTTCACAGCAAGCGGGTCGTGCACTCGCTATCTACAGAATAACATATGCATGTTTAAAAATGAAGGTAGTGTTCATTATAGCGATAGGCAGCGGCTTGTTACTGGTGGTAGGACCTCTTGTGAGTCCGCGCGGGTAGGTACCACCACGCTGCCTATTTCTGCCGTGAAGCAGTAATGCGTTTCGGTTTGAAGGGTGGGGCAGCCGTTGTAACTATACTTGAAACCTTAGAACTTATATCTCAAGGTGGGTGGCATATTTATGTTGTAGATGTATATGGGCTCCAGTAACCACTGAACACCAGGTGGACTGTGAGCTCGTCCGTCTATCTAAGCCATAAAAAAGGGCAATAAAATAAATGTTGGTTCATAGAGGAAGTCCGTCTTCGGACTGCAGACATATTAGACCTGAAGAAGGCTCTCCGCGAGGAGTCGTTGAACGCTCGCAAATTATCCGTGGCGCTGGACGCGACGCGCGCCGAGCGGAACATGCTCCACAAGAACTACACGGAAGCGCTGGACGAAATACAGGACTTGAAGCAGAAACTTAAGGTGACTATTATATGTGGATTGGTCTCCTACACCGCCTGTCTTGGTTTCTACTCACTTTCTTTCTTCTTCCACTTTAATTTATACCAAAATTCAAAGGGTCTGTGCACAGGGTCTATGCAACTTCCCTGTCCAACCTGTCGATTACGACGAAGAGATCGACGAACTAACCCATAAACACTTCTAACTGAATTTCTCGCCAGATCTTTTTACTGGATCGCGCAACCGATCCCGTGGTAGATTCTGCGAAGCACTGCCCTCGCTAGTGCCAGTATTAGCAAACTCTCTGAAGTTGAGCCCCGTGAGTTCACTTACCTGCTACTCACGACTACCTGGTCTCGCAGGAGCGTCCGAATTGATTTAAATACTCTGATTTATTCTCACTGTCACTCTTACTGGTGGTAGGACCTCTTGGGAGTCCGCACGGGTAGGTACCACCGTCCTGCCTATTTCTGCCGTGAAGCAGTAATGAATTTCGGTTCGAAGGGCGGGGCAGCCGTTGTAACTATACTTGAGACCTAAGAACTTATATCTCAAGGTGGGTGGCGCCTTTACGTTGTAGATGTCAATGGGTTCCAGTAACCACCTAAAAACCAGGTAGGCTGTGAGCTCGTCCACCCATCTAAGTAATAAAAAAAAATTAAAAAGTTATGTCATCTCAATATAGATGCTGGCTTATCAAATTGAGCAACTGAAGGAGGATATCAGCGGGAAAGAAGTCGGTCTCAAAACTTGCGAAGGGACGCTTTCTAAATGTAACAAAAAGAACGAGCAACTACGCGCGGAGGTCCAGAACGGTCAGGCCAAATTGGCGGAGGCCAGAGTCGAGATAACGGCGCTGAAACAGGAGGAAGCCAGACTAAACAGGATCGTACAGGTCCGTGACATGCGACGCCGCCATTTCGACTATACTAAAACACTAATCTATATATGTATGTATTGGCACACGTCAGGGATGGCTGAGCGGTAGGTTCCGCCATCACTCGTATTCGATTGAACTCAGTTTAGTCAATAAAACTTTTCAATAATAATTATTGAAACTCAACACACACAACTTTCTCAATGACAGGGTAAACCGACAGTTTCGTTCCACATACCGACAGACCGACTGACTGACTGACTGACTGTCAGAGACTCACTGACTGAGACGGACGGAATGACTGTCTGACATGGAATGCCACGACTCTGTCCACGTACCGCCATTTTATACTGTGGCGTTACGGAGTCTACCCTTCATTTTGTGATATTTATCAAAAAACATTTCATTATTTAAAATAATAATCAAAACTACTAAAGGGCTTAGGTCAGCAGGAATTCAATAATGCGTCATTTTACACAAACAGCTTGTATTTATTTCCACTTTGCACTTACAGAGTAATTTACAGTGATCGTGCTTACACTTTCAACTCTCTGTCGAGAATGAATGCTACCTCGGTGTGCTTGAATATATATTGTCTGATCGCCCCACCACAACGGAATGGTGGTGCGATCGACGTCACTAGACGAGTGAAGTCAACCGAGTCAATTGAACAATTATTTNCACCACCATTCCGTTGTGGTGGGGCGATCAGACAATATATATTCAAGCACACCGAGGTAGCATTCATTCTCGACAGAGAGTTGAAAGTGTAAGCACGATCACTGTAAATTACTCTGTAAGTGCAAAGTGGAAATAAATACAAGCTGTTTGTGTAAAGTGACGCATTATTGAATTCCTGCTGACCTAAGCCCTTTAATATTGAGATTAGATTTTTGTAATGAAAATCTAAAACCATTTTCACTGATTAACCTCAAATTCGTTTTATAGGTACGTTCTCGATCATATTTACTATTCAATAAGATTTTATAACAGCAAGATCGGACCAAAAAATTATTGTTTGAAATGTTTCCAGGAAGGTGACGCGGCAAGGGCCAAGCTGATGAAGGAACTCGAAGGGCTAATGAACGAGAGGGACGTGGTCGGAGCACAGCTGGTCCGGAGGAATGACGAGATCGCGCTACTGTACGAGAAGATTCGGATCTTAGAGGTCACGCTGCAACGGGGTATACGTTCTTCATGGAACTAATTGAACAAGAAAATGAAAACCTGTCTATTCTATTTTTTACTGGTAGCAGGACCTGTTGTGAGTCCGCACGCGTAGGTACCCACCACCCTGTCTATTTTTGCCGTGAAGCAGTAATGCGTTTCGGTTTCAAGGGCGGGGCAGCCGTTGTAACTCTACCGAGACCTTCGAACTCGTGTCTCAAGGTGGGTGACGGCATTTACGTTGTAGATGTCTATGGGCTTCAATAACCCTTAACACCAAGTGGGCTGTCAGCTCGTCCACCCATCTAAGCAAGAAAAAAATATATTTTTATTGCCCTTGTAGGCAGACGAGCATACGGTCCACCTGATGGTGGGTGGTTACCGTCGCCCATGGACCTCAGCAATGCCAGGGGCAGAGCCAGGCCGCTGCCTACCGAATACCTAATAATAATACAATTAAGCAATTTTATAAGTCCATCAATTTTACCATATTAATCTCATGATCTGACTATAGCTAGTCTTCATTGCCTTGTTAGTTGAGTGGTTAGAGGGTCAGTGCTCTGTACTCTGGTCTATCCGTGCGGGTTTAGGTTCGCCCTAATGGCAGTAAATTTAAATGGGGGGGGAGAGAGAGATCGCGTTACCGTATCGAGAGAGAGTATTCCCGGTGTTCAAGCCCACTGAGCTTCTCGCCGGATCTTCTCAGTGAGTCGCGTTTCCGATACGCTGGTAGATTCTGCGAAGCGCGGCTCTTGCTAGGGCCAGCCTTAGCAACGTCGTTAGGTTTGAGCCCCGTGAGCTCACCTCCTAGTTAGGGCTACGCTGAAATGATCTCTCAAGACCATCAGCTTAGGTAGGAAAAAAAACCGGTGTTCACACGGAACAGCACCACAAAATGTGAGTGCGAGATCCTTTAACCGTAAAATATTGTGAACGTCTCTTAACTGTTGTTAAATTCAACAGGGGAAAGACAATACGAACAGAGAGTGGAGGATATAAGATTGCTGCGCTTGGAAATAATAAGACTTCGTAAGGAGAAGAATCTGTTGTCGAAGGGAATCGAGAACATGACGGACTTGAGGCTTGAGGTAAGTCGGCGGTTACAAGGAGATATGTGTTCTCTAACGTAAGTTCGCGATTTTTGCTCAGTTGACTGATGACTCAAAAGAAAAGCCTTAAAAAGCATAAACCCTGGAATTGGAAGTGGATTTTTTTGATGATGAGCACACGGCCCACCTAATGGTGAGTGGTTACCGTCACCCATAGACTACAGCAATGCCAGGGGCAGAGCCAAGCCGCTGCCTACCGCTTAATACTCTCCACAAGCCTCGTTTGAAGAAGGACATGTCATAGCGCTCGGGAAACACCGTGGAGGGAGCTCCTTCCATAGCCGGATGGTACGTGGCAAAAAATACCTCTGGAAACGCACTGTGGATGACCGCAGTGGCTCCAGGTAGTACGGATGAACTCTACTTCGGTGGCGGGCGGTGCGATGGTAAAAACGAGATGCCGGTATCATCTCGAACAATTCCTCAGAGCACTCCTCCACTCACAGAGAATTTCAGTGGAATCAAAAAACTTTGTTTTCAGAGAAAAAAACAAAACTTGTTAACTTCAATTAACTTTTTTTTTGTACTTAGCTGTAAAAAAGCGAAACTTGAAATCACTTGAGTTTTGAATGGTTGCGTTTTTTGTGAGTTCAGCGTTTCCGGTTTCTTCGTCTAGATCAAGTTTTTGACCAGATTCTATTCACCGATAAATACCGCTACAATTATATATGATTTTTTTTACGTTTAGGCTATAAGATTAAGTGGTTAATCGACATTTTTTTGTGGCATACTTATTCAATGAACTTTTTCCTTTTTCGTAGTAATGGAGTTTTGTTTTTAATATAACGATAGATTGGAGATGGTTTGTTTTGTTGTACCACGCTATCAGCTGCTCTAACGAAAGCAGAACAGAGCTGAATCTACCACCGGATCAGTATCGCGACCCACTGAGAAGATCCGACGAGAAACTCAGTAGGTTGTGTCTATGAGTTTACTGGTGGTAGGACCTCTTGAGAGTCTGCGCGGGTAGGCACCACCACCCCACCTATTTCTGCAGTGAAGCAGTAATGCGTTTCGGTTTGAAGGGTGGGGCAGCCGTTGTAACTATTCCTGAGACCTTAGGTGGGAGGCGCATTTACGTTGTAGATGTCTATGGGCTCCAGTAACCACTTAACAGCAGAAGTCGAAGTTTTAGAAGTCGTCGTGGCCTAAAGGATAAGACGTCCGGTGCATTCGCATATAGCGATGCACTGGTGTTCGAATCTCGCTGGCGGGTACCAATTTTTCTAATGAAATACGTACTCAACAAATGTTCACGATTGACTTCCACGGTGAAGGAATAACATCGTGCAATAAAAATCAAACCCGCAAAATTATAATTTGCGTAATTACTGGTCGTAGGACCTCTTGTGAGTCCGCACGGGTAGGTACCACCGCCCCGCCTATTTCTGCCGTGAAGCAGTAATGCGTTTCGGTTTGAAGGGTGGGGCAGCCGTTGTGACTATACTGAGACCTTAGAACTATATCTCAAGGTGTGTGGCGCATTTACGTTGTAGGTGTCTATGGGCTCCAGTAACCACTTAACACCAGGTGGGCTGTGAGCTCNGCCTATTTCTGCCGTGAAGCAGTAATGCGTTTCGGTTTGAAGGGTGGGGCAGCCGTTGTGACTATACTGAGACCTTAGAACTATATCTCAAGGTGTGTGGCGCATTTACGTTGTAGGTGTCTATGGGCTCCAGTAACCACTTAACACCAGGTGGGCTGTGAGCTCGTCCACACATCTAAGCAAAAAAAAAAAAAAAAAACACTTAACAGCAGGTGGGCTTTGAGCTCGTCCACCTATCTAAGCAATAATAAAAAATATTATTGTTATAATACTAATAATACTATTGTTATTATTACTTGTAGGTTAGTAACGTTTATAAAAATGTTCAAAGGAATTGACAAAAAAAAAAATAAGGAGTTAGCTTGCATGTCAAAGTCATCGTCACATTCGGCGAGTTCAGTGAAACAAATATTTAAAACCTAAGCATCTATTGCCTACCTTGATAACCCTAAGATGAATAAAATCTTGGGGTGATATAATGGCCAATTCCGATCTAATAATTTAAAATATGTATTCCGCCTTGAGAAATATTTATTTAATAGTCGTTTAATTATTAATGTGTCAAAGTTACTAACAGAATCTGAAACAGTTTGACATGGGTTACCAACTATAAACAAGCAAAAAGAATTATAAATATGTAATTATATAGTTGTTAGAACTATTCATTTATGCATGGTTAGCCTTCAGCTATTTTGACATAGACAACGTCAGGGGCGGCCATTAACAACTTAACCCGTAACTAAATATAATAAATATCTTCTTTTTTTGAAGTAAAACTTCTTTAGGCGCACGAGGGTAAAATTTTTACAGATGTAACGTCACGCAGGTATGCAACGGAAGTATCGAAAAAGAGAGAGAGAGCGATCGAGACCGATTGAGAGAGAGTAAGACAGGGCGAACGTAGCATGAAGCAACTAGCCATGGAGTGAGAGTAGGGAGCAAGCAAGTAAGAAAGATCGAGAGAAAAAGTGAGACAGAGCGAACGTCGTATCACGAGAGAGCTATAGTGAGAAAGATTGAACGAGAGAGAGAATAAGGGATATCGAGAAATAATACACGCTATAATATTGGTTTGTGTATTCGTTTACTAGTTAATTATTTTTAATACAGCGCCATCTATGAGATTTTTTAATACTAACTTAATACTAACGTGTGTATGAAACCTCTTGTAGGGAATTTTAATTTAGGATTATACGTGAAGTTAAAATATCAATTCACAGAGGGCGCTACCTCATACTATAAAAGATGATTTACAGTTATTTACTAATGACAATCGAGGGGACATTCTGGCTTCATCTTAACAGGTGGGCGAACTAACACTAGCCTTAGCAAGAGCAGTGCTTCGCTGAATCTACCACCGGATCGGAATCTCACCCCACTCAAAAGATCGGGCAAGACACTCAGTGGGATTTATTACTATCCATCATTAAGTTCTATATATAAATATAACATAGCAGTGTAGTGACTACCACTAAATGTGGAAAACATTGATTTCTTGATAACACTCACAATCGGATGATTGGTTTGGTACACAGAGGATAAGCATATTTACGAGTATATATTCTAAATATCCTTAATTTAGAAGAAGACTCCAATAACCGGTCACCGTTCTCGTCGAATCCGTCGCTCGCGAAGGGATCAGCTAGTCAATTAACCCACAGACACAGTCGACTGAGTTTCTCGCCTGATCTTCTCAGTGGATCGCGTTTCCGATCCGGTGGTAGATTCTGCGAAGCGCTGCTCTTGCTGGGGCTAGAGTTAACCAGGTTAGTGACCCGTGATCTCACCTACTCGATCTGTGAATCTAGCATAACCCCACAATGTCACTAGAATAGGTAGGAAAAAAATTAAAAAACCTTAATCATCTAAAGACATCCGAACCGTCAACAATATGAAAACATATTGCCAGTCCGTGTGGTGTCAAAGGGGTGCCGAAGCCTACTGTCTACCTTGAGACATGAGGCCGAAGACTCACTGCAGTAATGGCTATCGTTTACTTTAAACTATGACTGCTTCAGAAATGGGCAGTAACGTGGCATCTACCATCTGGATTGAAGGTAGAATTTAAGAGCACACAAAACACGGTTACACACTCGTCTCCTCTGATGATAGGAATTGTGGACTATGTCTGTTTAGTTCGCGCAAGGTTATTGTACTTGCAGCAGACGACAGATGCGAAAGGTTTGTTACGATTATCTTATTATCGGCGGAACCCTAAAAGCGACCTTCAAAAATAATAATTTTGCATATAGCATATTATATATGATCGTAAAATAATATCAGCTTCATAAAATTAAATCTTCATTAATTAAGTACGTTTTAAATGTAGTTTATTTATTATGATTGAACTGGTTTTGTTAACTATATTTTAATTTGATAATTTATAAAAAAATATTTTTTATACGAGTAAATAGAAGCTATATTCCTTTAACGCGTCGTTAAAAAAGAGACTTACAGGCGAACATGTCAATGGAAAATTACCATTGTCCATTTTCTGTAAACAAGGTTATTGAATCTGGCAATAATTTGGGTGTTGAACCAAAGTGATCGATATAGCTCACAGAGTTAGTAAGCTGAATGGGCAGTGGGCTGGTCACATATGTCGCAGAACCGATAACCGTTGGGGTAGACGTGTTCTGGAGTGGAGACCGCGAACCGGCAAACGTAGTGTAGGACGCCCTCCTGCTAGATGGAGCGACGACCTGCGCAAGGCAGCTGGCAGTAACTGGATGCGTAGAACCGAAGATCGGGTTCAGTGGCGAGCTTTGGGGGAAGCCTGTGTCCAGCAGTGGACTGCCGCAGGCTGATGAAGATGATGAATAATTTTGGTATGCTCTTTCCAAGTTACGACGAAATGAAATATTAGTTATAAGCCGCAATAATCCTTAAACAAAATATGTACAAACAAAATATGCGTTCCCTTTTGAAGAGTGGAATAACCTGTGTGCCAATTACATTGCTATTTTGATCTCGTCTCGCCCTGTCAAGCACTCATCGGAGCCCATAATTCACTACGAGAGCACTCCCTAACACCCAATCAAAGCTACTGTTCTTCTTTCTTGTTCATTGTTCTTCTTTCTTCTTCTTCTTCTTGCCAAGAGTCAAGGATCCCTGTGCAACGCCTACGTCTTGTAGCTGGCGTACTTATTATCCTAAAGCTAGATTACAGTCAATGGCGGATCCAGGGGGGGGGTCATGGGGGTCATGACCACCCCCTGAGCTGGTTCCAGAACTTAGGTGGACCACTAATTGAATATAATGATTTTATTTATATATTTTGTCACCATACAGATTTTATGTAACTACATACCTTCAATATTTAATTTATTTAATAATATAATATAATAACTTTGTATAATGGCAAACGTTTGGGAACGAACGCATCTAAATTTGACTATGTGACCCCCTCCTGGCGCCAAAGCTGGATCCGCCC